ACTATATCCCTAGGTAGTCCCCATATTAACCCCCATAAGCTTAGGGGTCCCTCCAAAAGTCCTTAGAATGGAGACACGCCTTCGCCAACCCGAACCTCCTGAGCTCCTAGGGCATACCAGGGAGGGTTTGTTTAGGGTTTAGGGTTTAGGGATTTATGCAAAAGGGTTTAGGGTTTAGGATCGCATGATTCCCCAAACCCTAAAACCCTAAATAGCAGTTTCCATGTTCTTTTCCATTATCCCTACATGTCAGGGTCCCTGGCTTGCCAAATGCAGGCATCTATTTGGAGGTTTTTCGGGAGTCCCCATGATGAGGATTGTAGTAGTTTGGGTTCTACCTCGGGGTCTCCCTGTTTGTGTGGCACTGCCATTTAAGGTAGGGTTCATTATCGATTTTAGTCAGTGATCATTTTAAAGGTAGGGTTTATCATCGTTTTTAGTCAGTGAGCATTTCACTCCCCCCCACTTACCTTACAAACCCTAAGGGCCGAATCCTAAAACATGTCCGCGCGAGCTGAGTGGCAAGTCATAGGCAAGCTTTTGCAACGGTTGTAGAGGCATGGTTTTGGGGCATGTCTGGGGTTATGTGAGTTCGTACAGAAACCGTCCTTAGCACTGCGCAAAAGGCCTGGGTTGCTGCAATTGCTGCGTTGAGAATTCCTGTTGCATGGTGGCGGAATATTGCACAGAATAGTTGCGGGAATAAAATGTCCCTAAACCCTGAACCCAATATACGTACATAGAGAAAAAACGTGTCCGTGGCAGCATAAGAGGGGATTGGTTCTATTGCTGACTGCGGAAGCTGCTACTTGGCCCAAAATAGTAATGATACTCGTAATAGTAATAGTAATAATCAAAATCATAAGAGAAATAACAGTAATGCTAGAGATCGTAGCAATAGAAAAGTAGTAATAATAGTAGTAATATGGGTGGTTGTCAAAATTATGGTCCCTTTTCAGGTACCCTAGATATTAGGTGCCGTAGTATAATAGGGATCCAAAAAGGGACCATAATTTTGACAACCACCCATATACATCCCAACTCGGGAGTTCTTCTGCAGCGCTTGCCGATTCGCAGTTGCACGAGGGGGGTACAAAATTACTCGTCCCTGCTGAGTGCTTCTGGCCGGGATCCTCGTATGTTGCGTTGGGTTATATGAAGTGTGTGAAGGGTCCCCTCATTGTCTGAGTGCCCATTTTTTGGGTAGTGCCTCAAAAGGAGATCATATAGGGGATTTGAGGGGGACCATTATAGGGATTATTAAGGGGGATACTAGGAGTTTAGACTATAGCTCATATACACCCAAAATGCACGCACCCTTTTGTGCCGGCCTCCCAAAGAAAGTTCTGGAATTCCCAATCTAGCGGGGCAATATCGAAAAAACTTTCAGATAAACCTTATGGCAAGAACGAATGAGTGCTTCGTAATTCGCCTGCCTCAACCCAAACTTCATTCTTTGACGGCCCAATATCCCTTTATTAAAGGAATATACACTGAATTACACCTTGCTCCAAAATATGTTTTTGTAAGGCATCTTCTGTACATAAAGGAAGGGTATTGGGCTCCCGGTTTTAGGAGGCTTCAGCCCTAAACCACTAATCCCTAAACCCCTAAACCCTAAACCAACCACTAAACCCCTAAACCCTAAACCCCTAAACCGTAAACCCTAAACCCTAAACCCCTAAACCCTAAACCCTAAACCCTAGGCCTGACGCATCATGGCGGAGCTCGCCCGCTGGCAATGGGCCTCTTGCAATTGAAGGATTAGGGTCCTCCAAACCTATAGTCCCCCTTAAGTAGATAGAATATGGCTTTGGGTATATTATAATAAGATTCCCATATACCCCATATTCTATCTACTTAAGGGGGGCGATAATGTTTAGGGTTCAGGGTGTGGGGTTTTAGGGTGTGGGTGTTAGGTTTTGGAGTTTAGGTTTTTAGGGCTTAGGGCTTGCAACATGAGGATTAGGGTTTAGGTTTTGTGGATTCGGGTGGGTTTGTTGTGATGGGCGCTGAATGAGAGGTGTTCATGCCACAGGGTCGCATCGAGCAAGGAGGATGTCACACGTTAGGGAGATGATGACATGTCAGTGGAAGCAGCTCCCCTCAGATACTTGCAGAGCAGCTAGAAGCATGAACAGCCACAACACTCAGCGGGTCTTGAGTCTGTAGTCTCTTTGCGAATCATGTTTCATTTATATTGTAGGATAGCACCCAGGAAGCATCAAACATTTTTTCAACATTGGGTCTAGTGATTACAGGTTACAGGTATCCACGGCAGTGGTCCGACAGGACTGATAGCTAAAGTGATTACGAGGATGTTCATTCTGAGGGCATGAAATCAACAATCATAGGACTGGAGTAGCGTGGTGTACGTGGAGGTCGGTCTGGGTCAGAACCTCCAGAAATTTGCAAGTATGCCAAGAAGAGTGATTTGTGTCATCTACAACCCTAAACCGTGAACCCTATGGAGACCCCCCAAAAGTTACAATCAGTTTGGGGAAACCTTCACCACTGCCCGTTCCTGGGCGCCGCATTGACAGCCATTTGGCAAATCCGGGGCCTTTTCTTAGAGCTCTTACATAATAGTCCTTATTGCAGGGAGCCCCAACAAGAGATGCTTAGTTTTTAGCCCCTATGTAAGTTTTGGCATCAAAGGACGATGCAGGAACGTGGCGAGACTTTGCAGAGCAATACCAGGCCCGGCATGTGGGGCACGCTCTTCAGATTGGGTGGTGTGACCTAACCTTTGTTTCTTAGGGTTAGTAGATTACTTATCATGACTGTCATGCTCCGCATTTTGGGCTTTGTTCATCTTCAGATTGCAGGCATTGTTCACGTCATGGTCAGTCCTGTGTTCTTATACTGTTGATCTAATTTCTGTTGTTATTGTCATTACAAATATGCTTGCGGCGGTGAGGCATTGGGAGTATCACTGCCCCCAAAGGGCTTAAAATAAGTGCCAGTAGCATATGGGAGATTCTGACTTCTTCCTTGTGTAATCCTGCAGCAGTCCTGAGATCAAATCGCAACAGCTTTCTGGTGGTACCTTGCAGGTCCTTGCTCCTCGCAACATCTTGCAAGATGAGTGTCTCAACATTTTGTACGCATCTCTGACATTCCGTGTCCCGATTCTTCCGGAATTCGAAGGGGTCTCCATGACAACACAGAGACGCACCCAATCCTGATGCTGTAGGGGAACCAGAGCGGGTACGCAATAGAAAGCAAGTCTTCAGGATTCCCCCCTCCCCCACGTACTTTCAGGAGGCTCTCTGGTTTTACACACAAAAACACTCCAGAGGTGTAGCCCGCCAATATTGTCGCAATGATGAGAATTTCTTTGAATTGCCTATGGGTGGTTGTCAAAATTATGGTCCCTTTTTGGATCCCTATTATAATACGGCACCTAATATTTAGGGCACTCAAAAAGGGATCATATTTTTGACAACTACCCTTATGGCTTGCTGAGAGGGGCCCGGTACCCCCTTCTTTCCCCTACGTGGCCCCAGGTTCCCTGTGAGAGCTGAGGGTTTAGGGTTTCGGTTGAGTACCGTTGATTTCAATCATCCGACGATCAGCTAAGCTACTGCTCCCTCACGGTGTGTGAGGCTCAGATGGAAGCAGCCGCTTGGTCGCACCTGATATCCCTTTCATAACCCTTTAACAACCCTATAATGTCCCTATTATAGCGGTCTCCATTTTCTTTTCCATTATCCCTATATAACCCCCGTGGGTAACGTTCTTCTTGTGCCCTTGTTATGACGGCAGCCAGCGCTTCTTGCTGAGCTGCCATGCAAGACAAGCATCGGTTACTTCCACCATGACAACGATGACGGTGACGACTATTCTGCCTTGCGTTCCTTTTACATATGGAGGTGTTGCCGCAGTTCCCTCCTCATAAGCTGTAAATAGTGCCAGGAACAATCATAGAAGCAGTAAAAATACCACGCTCTCAACAGAACAACTGCAATACATCCTCATGCTGCGTATTAGCTAATGGTACTTGTTCCGGGCTTGCCAGTACTGCCGCAAAGATAAGGACCTTGTGATAGTAATCCCCTCCCCCTAATATTACGCCCACCACCACCCTATGGTTGAGTACCCCCAATATACTGTAATGTACCATAACGGGGAGTATGTAATGTTTGAGGGGGGTGAGGGGGCTAAATATTCGTGGGAGGGGATTAGTCATGGACCCCTAAACCCTAAACCCTGAACCCTGAACCCTAAGCCCTAAACCCTAAACCCTAGGATCCTGGGGTTGCTGAAGCCTCCTTGTTACTCTCTGAGTCAGCTCAATCACAAAGTTTTTGCAACCTGTGGGGTGAAGTGAGGAAAGTGCGAGGTAGACAATATTCCATGCACAGACTGCAGGACATCTACACTCCCGGAAACTAACATGAAAACCCAAAAAGAGCCCTGAACAGACTACAGTCCTTCTAAAAGGGGACTATATGGGTTTCCATGTTAGTTTGGATGAGTTTATGGCATCTAAACTTCTCCTCTTTGTTTGTACGCATTGGTCCGTATGAGCTCCTCTGTTGAAGTTTTCTTTGCACTGCCCGAAAATCATCATGAACGCCTCGCGAAAACTTGCATGTGCGATTATTGCGATGGTCTTGGAAGAGCATACCCGCCTCTTTTGCAGGGCACAACCGGCTGTAGTTGATCATGAGGTGATGCAGCTGACAGCATTCAAGGTTGTGTTTGGAGCAGTGCTGCAGCGCACTTGTTCTGGTCACTTCTGTTTATTTCAGAGATATCTCGGCCAACCTTATTACCACTAATTACACCTGGTATGACTACTACTGCTTGTATTCTTGCCGGTACCATGCTCACCCTGCCGTTACTACGTAACGTTGCTGTTTTTTGGCTTAAGCCTTGGGAGCAAAGCCTGACTTGTCGGGCAGCGTTGAGGGCTACAAGGTGCGCAGGGCTGTCGGCTTGGTGGCAAGAAAAGCTGCACTTCCCTCGAGCAGGGTTCTCGTGCAGAGAGGAAGATGCGTCCGTTCAAGAGAAGCGGTCTAGAGCCAGGCGTCACCACATTGATGCTTCGGCGTCTTCCGGAGGATTGGGGAGCACTTTCAGTGTTGGACTGGCTTCAGCAGAACAAAATCAAGCTGCGCCAGATCGACTTCCTGTACGTCCCGTTTGACAAGCACACCAACACCAACATTGAGCTTGCGTTCATCAATTTTGTCGACAGCGCTACAGCCAAACAGGTCTACAAGCTCGTGGTCAAGCACAACAAGGAGCTGATCTGGGATGTAGTGGTCAGTGCTGGAAACGTACAGGGTTTTGAGTGGAACCTCGCCTATTTTCTGATTAGGTTTGGCCCGCGTGCCACGTGGGGGGAGGATGCTCCGCTGATCTTCAGGAATGGTGCTCAGCTGCGGGACCGTGAGGAGATTGCTCAAGCCTATGCAGACATACCGAGCCATGTGCTCGATGAAGCTGCGAGGTTTGTCAGGGCAGAAACTGCTGGATCTCCTCCCCGTGGAACCCGCCGCAGGGCCCAAAGACCCACGTGGAGGTTGAGTGCAGAAACCATGTCCATTGAGCAGTTCCAGGTAGATGGCAGCGAGGACGAGCTGTTGTCAATTATTCGGTCCGTTGACAATGGCGCCTGGGTGTTCAGTTTGTGATCCTGGGCTCCCATTTGAAAGCTTGCAAGCATAGAAGTCACTAGTGCTTTTGATTCTAATCAGGCACAAGTCTGTGCAATGCGGCAGTGAAGTAGAAGCTGTCTTAGTAGCTAGCCTGTCCCGATGGCACTGCCCGTTGGAAACCACGGTCCAATTTCCTTTGGCCCCGTTACTCATTTTGTTTTGGCCATGTTTCACCACCGCATTCAGAGAAGATCTATAACGCGCCCTGGGTCAGCACGTGCGCGCAATCCTTTCTGAAAAGGGGTCTTATCTCCAAATGCTCCTCCCCAGACATATGTGGAAGAAAAGCGCCGTGTGGACAGGACGATATGTACTTTCTCTTTTCGCCCGTGTTCGTAGTGGACCTGCATGCATGATGTGCCGTGCTTGGAAAACGCAATTGTCCGGCCTTCTGAGCTTTTCTTGGGCCTAGCGCCAAGCCAGGCTCCAAAATGTAGACCGCGAATTAATGAACCACCTCCCTTTCATGATTTTTTACAGGGATCCTAATATGAATGCAGGCCCTGAAAAGGAGGAGGTTCATAAATCCGGGGTCTAGATTAATCTTCAGGGCATCTGCGGGAGAAACCCCTGTGCTAGGTAATCTCCTCCCCTAACATGAAGGTGGAGGGGATCACATGTCTTCCCACTTTTTGCCTGGGAATGAAGCTCAGCGCCCCCTAAGAATGAATATTCCCACTGTGGAACACCAAAAAATTCTAGGGGATGTTTGCATATTGTGAGTAGGAGTTGAAAGAGAGTATCAATGGGAGGTCAAAAACCCTAGACCCTAAACCCTAAACCCTAGACCCTAAACCTCCCAAAATAGTACAATCACGAACGCAGCGAGGGTGTCGCAGCGAGGATTTTTTGTGATTCTTTCTAATTTTTCTGTGGGGCTGCCTTCAACATCTTTTTTTTTTATATAGAAACCTGAGTAGGAAATAGCTTATCATATTGAGTGTTATCCTCTGAAAAAGCCCTTATTAAACTCTAAGCACCATAGCCGTGTGGATTCTTGGCCCGTCAGATGGTTGATTGGGATCATCAAGAGCTTGCAATATCCTGTAGTCTCCCATAGTTCTGGTGATAAATGGCGCTAGCGGCTCTCGTTTCGCAGTATGCCTACCTGGCGAAACACTGCTGGCCAGGCAGACTTCACCAAAGGTATTCCAGATCTAGCCGCAGGCCAAAGACTCTTACTGGGTAGGGCAAGATCCAAGGACCAATCAAAGGTCACCTCCCCAACTGCTCTGGTGTAACGTTTGCGGTGGTGATCCCAGATGCAAACAGGCTATCACTCACCTCTGGAAAATAATAAGCCCTCCCAGCCCCTAGTAAAAGATATTCCTCTATATATGTATATATCACATAACGGTGCCATATTTGATGGATCTATTTCTCATAAATGTAGTTAGGAGAGCCCTCCCTAAAAAGGTTCCGACCAGAGTAAGAAAATTCATGGTACGTGCCAACTGCTTAGGCATATCAGCGCCGCGAACGAAGCTCCTACCTCAGCAGTTCATTGTGATAGTGATCGTACGTGTAGTATTAGTAACAGTTCATCATCTCAATCTGCGCCTTTTTCTCGACTCCTGCACCTGTGCTTTTTGCCTGTAATCTCGCTCCTTGGGAATTGTTGAAGTCCTTTGAGGGTGCACACGTGCTTTCGGTGGAGCTCCTACAAGGGTACTACATCCGTTTGCGGTGCTTGTTGTTTTATCAGAATAAGTTGTCTGATCTCGCAAAATGATGTGCCAGTTCTATTCGGGAAGGGCCACCAAACTTCTGCCAGCATGAAGTCCCTAAACCCTAAACCCTAAACCGCAAAGCGCAGGAAGGTGAAGGGAATCCGCTGTCCATTGTTTGGATGTCCTGACGTGAGTCCGAACCCCAAAAACCTCTTGTGGAAACCACATGCACAGGAACTGAACCACCGGAGTCTGAGTGATTTCAAGTACTTAGAGGGTCCAGGGGATTTAGTATGTTTACTGATGAACTTGTAGCCCCTACAGCAAGCCATGCAACAAGCCCAGTTATCCCTGTTGTGCTGGCATTGTTACTAAGTCCCCTTTCTCTTTGAGTAGAATCCAAACCTTAGAACCTTCGGCCTTAACCCTACAGCCTCAGCCCTTAGGCTTGAGGGGTGTGGATTTCGGGTTTAGGGGTTAAGGTTTGCGGTTTAGGTATCCCATTCAAAGCCCCTGCAGGTCGGACCCTATGGGTTTAGGGTTTACTGTTTGTCTGTTCCATGTCAATATATTGGGTGTAGGGAATAGAAAATAGGGTTTATGTTATTATCTACCCCTATGTATATATCCCTACATAAACCCGATATCGCCCGTTTCATGGTGTGGCTTGGCTCTTAAGGGGCATTTCCAATTCTTACGCTCAGGGTTTAGGGTTTACCCTGAATTTCCCATTGGGCCCATCCCTGAACCCCAAACTCTGCACACTAAAACCCTATTATTTGTTTAAGAAACACACAAAAATGAAAATATTCTTCTTTATGAGGGTAATATACGGATCAGTATTTATCCATTTTTTAGGGTTCTTAAGCAAATAGTAGAACCCAAGGGGCTCAGGTTTTGAGGGTTTAGGGTTTAGGGAAGTGCACAAGAAAAAGGTTGCGGGTGCCAAGGGGCAGTCAGCTCCAGACCACAAGAGCATGAACAGTTTAGGGTTTAGGGTTTAGGGACTAATACTCCCATACTCCAAAACTCCAAGCTCTTCAGCTCCAGAATGTCTGCCAAAAAGCAGGGTCTCGGCGCAACCAAAAGAACGGAGTCCTTAGTAGAGTAGCACAGGAAACTGGGCCATTTTCATTTGGGTAAGGGTAGCTGCAGCAGCAAATCCCATTCTTCACTGATAAGTGTGCGTGCCGGATTAGTCCCTAAATCCTATTGCAGACGGGTCGACAGTTTTGGGGACCACCTACATGCACAAATTTTACACCCCCAAACACATCTAAACACTACATCCCTGGATCCTACACGCCTCCTGAACTCAATCCCTAAGCCCGGAAGCCATAAGCCCCGAATCTACAAAGCCCCAAGCCCTGGACCCTGAGCTCCCTACCTTTGTGAAGAGGACTTGATGTGGGACCCGAAGCAGGGAACCCCAAGAATGTAGTAGGAATGCCATATTGCGCGTATACCTACCAGGGTCCTTGTTCCTATTATATTATTCCTGAATGCGCAGAAGAAGGGTTCTCTTTTTGAGGTTGGGGGTCTGGGGGTTGGGAGTTGACGCGAAATCCGTGCTTAGCGTTCGACGTGTGTTCGCAAGCGTCCGCAAGCGTTCGCAAGCGTCCCCGGCCGAAAATCGTCGCGAAACGCAGAGCACTTTTGGACTCGCGTTGCGTCTTCGCGTCTCAACAGTGACAACAGTCACAGGGATCGGGGGGGTTGTGGTCGGGAAATTCAGAATTGTCGTCACTTTTGGACTCGCGTTTTGTCCTCGCGTCTCAACAGTGACAACAGTCACAGGGATCGGGGGGGTCGTGGTCGGGAAATTCAGAATTGTCGTCACTTTTGGACTCGCGTTTGGTCCTCGCGTCTCAAAAGTGTCAACAGTCAGAGGGATCGGGGGGGTCGTGGTCGCGAAACGGAGAACTGTCGTCACTTTTGGACTCGCGTTTGGTCTTCGCGTCTCAAAAGTGTCAACAGTCACAGGGATCGGGGGGGTCGTGGTCGCGAAATGCAGAACTGTCGTCACTTTTGGATTTGGTCGCGAAAAGCAGAAGAGAGAAGAGAGGAAAGAGGAGAGGAGTGGAGAGGAGAGAGGAAAGAAGAGAGACGAGAGAGAGGAGAGGAGAGAGGAGAGAAGAGAGGAGAGGAGAGGCGAGAGAGAGAGAAGAGGAGAGAGGATAGAGGAGAGAAGAGACAGAGGAGAGGAGAGAGAGAGGAGAGGAGAGAGAAGGGAATAGAGAAGAGAGAGGAGAGAAGAGAGAGGAGAGCAGAGAGGAGAGAGGAGAAGAGAGGAAGAGAGAAGAGAGATTGGAGCTTTGCTCCAGCCCTCGTTTCACAGGGAGGGTATAGCAGTGAGAAGAAGAAGAGAGAGGAGAGGAGAGAGGAAAGAAGAGAGAGGAGAGAGGAGAGGAGAGAGGAGAGAGGAGAGAAGAGAGAGGAGAGGAGAGAGGTCAGAAGCGAGAGGAGAGCAGAGAGGAGGGAGGAGAGAGGAGAGGAAAGAGGAGAGAGGATGACCCCGGACCTAAGTATCCTGATTGGTTTCGCGCGTGGGGTGTTATTAAATCCGCGTGACACGAAGGTACACACGGGAGCGCGCGGGCCTTTTTCAAGAGGTGAGCAGGAAAGCGAAGTACCTCCTTGTCGTGTAGCTTTCTTCGAAGCTTGAAAAATAAGTTGTGCTGCATGCATGGATTATCCTGCTGACCTTCCTTTCGAGATGATGGCCACAGGAGCGGATTAAGTCCCCGCTATGCCCAAGCCACCGTCAAAAGCATCCTGGAACATGCGCTCTCCCCCTTGTCAAAGTCTCGCAGCCTTTGACAACTACTGCGTAGCTACGCAGGATATAAGTTTTGAAACATGACCCGACTGATCTGCTGAAATCTAGCCCTAACCTCCCCAGTGAACCTTAAGGGGTCAACACGCAGCTCAGTCCGGCCTTTCCATCTCTGTCTCAAGTACGCCCTGGAGCGTTGTGGCTCTACCCACAGGTCATCAATGACCTCCTGAGTACCGTCTTGGTACGTTACAAGCGTTCTGCGCTCCCCTGTCAAAACCTCCTGGTCTACGGGTAGATTGGTATTTTCAGGGGTAAACAACCTAACCCTAGACTCTCCATGCCAACGGATAAGAACGTTTAATCTACCCGGCCCAGGATACTCGTAGGAGTCAAAGTTATCCTCGGATATCTGATGCAGAGAAGAGATATCTCCTCCCCACGTTGAGCGCCTCAGGCGCAACTCTCTGAGCGATGGCTGCTCCGGAAGTCTCCAAAACACACTGCTCCGGAAGTCTCCAAAACACACT